AAAGGTCTTTGGACACATTAGAGAGTGTCCAAAGGAGGCAACGAGGATGGGGAAGGGCCTTGATCTGAAGCCATGGGAGGACACTGAGGGCACTTGGTGTGTTCAGCTGGAGCAGAGGAGACTGAGGGGAGACCTCAGTGCAGTTCCAACTGCCTGGGCAGGGGCAGAGGAGGGGCAGGGACTGAGCTCTGCTCTGGGGGGACCAGGGACAGCACCCAGGGAAGGGCTGGAGCTGTGTCAGGGCAGGCTCAGGTTGGATCTCAGGCAAAGGTTCTTCCCCCAGAGGCTGGTTGGGCACTGCCCAGGCTCCCCAGGGCAGTGGGCACAGCCCCAAGGCTGCCAGAGCTCCAGAAGGGTTTGGATGATCCTCTGGGGCACAGGGGGTGACTCTTGGGGATGGGCCTGTGCAAGACTGAGGGTTGGACTCAATGGCTCTTGTGGGTCCCTTCCAGCTCAGCATATTCTGGGATTCTGTGATAAAGAATTAATCTTTTCTTGCTGGCATTGTCCAGCCTACCACTAATGTGTTTTTCCAAGGGTAATTCACCAATTACTCTTCAGTCTTTTTAATTCCTTGATTTAAACTAGATGGCAAATAAATATAATAAGGTGAATTTACATAGTGCATCAGATAAATATTCACTTGAAATATAAGCAAGGCATTCAAACTGGGAGGATAATAATCTTTGAAGCTGTTTCTAACTTTTAAAGGATTACTTTAGACCTTTTCCTACAGTCTCAACGACTCCTATTTTATTTTTTCACATAGAATTTACAATGATTCCTACCATTTATGTCATGCAATAGTGCTTCTAAATTAGAAAACCAGACTGGAACTTCAGCAGCCTGTCTGAGTATTAACCAATTTCAGCTCCTCCGCTCTGACAAAGCCCTGGCTGAGAGATAAAAAAGAATCACATACCTTACTTATTAAGAGCTATTCATGCCAACTCTTCCTCTTGCTGCTGTGCACTAATCACGAATTAGAAAACACTTTAATATTTTCAACACAGAGACCTCATAAAAACCCAGATATGAGAAAGAAGTCAGAAAAGCAACAAAATCTTTGGACGTATGCTTATGGTGCTTTAGCAAAGAATTAATTGACCAGAACATGTGCAGGCTGCTCTCCAGTCTGTGGATACATAAGATGCAACTGTAGCAAACAGTCTATTTTTTAAAAGTAAGTCTTTAACAATGAAAATTGTGATTAAACCCAAAACATTTTAAGTGTTCACTTTTTGCATTCAGGATCTCACTTGATTTTGCCATTTGCTGATTTGGGGAAGCCAAATGGTAGTTTTCTGCTTCACTTTCTGTTCATACCAGGTTCCCTTTTTAGCTCTGACACTAAACACAGCAGGACTGCATTTAAATAAAAACATGCAGTTTCTATGGGTCTTGTGGATATATTTTCTAACTCACAGATATTCCCACTCATATCAGGCTCTGTAAAAAACAAAACAAAACAAAAAGTCTAACCCACATTTTAGTCCTAAGATATTTGCCAGTAGTCCTTTAATCCTGAAAGATAAAACCAGAATAAGATCACGATATTTTTGCAGAGCAAAAAGCCCTCCCGAAATAAAGCCTTAAAACTGTGGGGGGTTTTCCTGAGTACTTTGCCATGCACTGAAATAGCCAATTGCATCAGAAGGTCTGAGGCACGAGCAAAAGTTCGACATTGACACTTCCAGGCTCAGCAGAAAAATTATCCTGTCATTGGAAAAAGTATTTACTACCTTGTAGCTGCTCTTTCCCATGCCAAGTATTTCTGTCCTCTCAGAACTGCTTAGGAGGGGTGCTCTTCCTTATTTTAACTTGGCTGCCATCTATAAGGGGTAACTGATAGAGAAGAAGAAAACAATGTGCATAGCTGCCTCTCTGGAATTCTTTGAACTAGAAGCCCCTCAAAGCTTTCACTGAAAGGCAGGTTTTTGCACTTCAGCTGGGGCTGATATCCTTGAAACCATAATATTTACATTCTTTCTCTTTTATATTGCTTTCCCTTAATGCTTCCACGAGACAGTTAAAAATAGAAGGTGAGACACTGTAACTAGACAGAAGGCTATCTAGTGGTATGGTGCTCCCCAGGACTTCATGCCTGTTCCTTTTTGATGAGTAGGGGAAATACCTACTGGGTCAATCAGTGCACCTCTTCCTGCTCCTGCCAGGGAAGATTCCTACACTGTAGCCCTGCCCTGGCTCACACCCAAGAGGCTACAGATCACTTGCACAGGTTATGTAATGAAGGCTTGAGAGCTTCATGTGCCTTGCTGACCTGGAAAACTAAATTGGCTCTTCTCGTGGAGGATCTATTTGAGTTCCTTCCTCAGTTTATCTGACTTCTGTGTCACTTTGTCCGCTGTCCATGTCTGTCCTGGGAGGTTATCTGGCATTGCACCACTTCAGCACAATTTCAGGAATTTGTTCTTTCCTAGTTCATGTTGTCAGTATATTTTTCAAGCAAACTGAGTTGTCTTTTTAGTGTTACCTTCTGTCTCCCCACAGTAACTAATGTCTTGAATATCAAAGTCTTATACAGAAGTAAGAAGTTGCATCCTTTCGACCTTTTGTCCCAGGAAGTTTCCTGCATGTATGATCTGCTCTGTGTGGGGAATCTCCAAACTCTAAGCAGTGTGGGAAAAGAAAGACCTGTCAGCCTTCTTTCCTGCCTTTTCCCCTTTCCTCACAAGCTGCTGATGCTGTGACACAAATCAGTGTGGTGTCAGAATGAGGCCATGCTCCTGGGAAGGGTTTGGTGCACAGTTCATATGCACACGGTGTTCCCTGTGCCAGGTCTGCTGCACATCCATGCATTTCAGTCAGGGCAAGGCTATACACCCTCCAACACAAATCCATGCTAGAACCAGAGAAAGAATGAAAACTGCTGTAGGATAGGATAGACATCCTATTGATGCAGGATAGAGCTGAAGGATAATACACATTATCCTTCATCCACAAATGGTTCTTGAATCTCTAGGATCAGTCACCATTTCTTTATAAACCTGCATTTACATAGCTTAAAAAGCAGCAATGTTGAAATGGATCCAATGGTTTCTTATTCCAAATGCATTTCTTTTCTATAAATAATGTTTAAATATGATTAACTGTATTTCAGCTATGAAAAGGCAGAAGTGACTAAACAATTGAAGTAATTTTACTGACTTGATTTTGAAAATCCAAACACTGGCCTAGTTTTTCAAATTTTCAAAAATCATAGCTTAATTAATTCATTTAATAAGTTTTCCATTCAGCTACCAGTGCAGAGGTTTGGGGTTGTTCATATTCTTTTTCTTACAGAAACCAACAGAGCCATCTCTACTCACACTTCACAAGACCAATTCTGTGTCTTTTGTAACTTATTAAACAAATTAAATACATCTTAAAAACAAAACAAAACAGAAATAGTAAAATCTTCCTACTACTAAAACACAACTTTCACTTCTTACACTTCTCAGTCAAGAATATTTAAGGACTTTAAAAGAATGGTTTACCACTGTGAAAAAAAATCTATTCATTTATGTCACGTATTATACAGAAGTAAACATACAAAATGGAGACACATAAATTATAGCTTCTTACATGAAACAAGACTGTATAATACAATAGAGCCGTTAATTGTGACATTTATGCTGTTGCCATTAGAGTTTCTCTATAAATATATAAAATGTATATATGCATGTACACGCACATACATACATATTTGTCAGTGTTGTTTGGTGTGTGGAATAAACAACACTGAAATCAAACTAGTTCCACTACAAAATATCTCCAAGTATCCTTGGTTTCATTTCCACTTTCATCTCTTTCGGTCTTTCCATTTCTCCCTCACCGACTTTGCTTCTTCCTTGCTTTATTTTGTGACTGATTTTTTGCTGTTCTTTATGCTTGATTAGTCTTTCATTTTGTCTGCCAAATGCCCTCTCAGTTTAGATTCCTCCTCAAAGCCATTAATTTCTCCACCTCTACCCTTTCCTTTAAATGCAACCAATGGCTTGTCTCTTTAGGACTGCAAAGCTTTTCACTAGGGCCTACACTTCCAGTGTTTATTTGTACAATATCTGATTTATTTGCAATCCTTTGAAAATTCTTACTAATATTTCAGTAGGTTTTTTCTTCTCACACTTAGGAACTGATATAGTGTTTGTCTTTTCTGAAGCCAGAGAGATAAAACAGTGATCCATAACTAGATGGACAAAGCACAGTGGAAAAATTAGGTGGTTTCAGCCAGAAAAACTAACAATCAAGAACCTTTTGGCAGGTCTGAATTTTAACTTAAACCTGCAAAATACATCATTTGAGACAGCTTCAAGACTTGACCAAATCTTTACTGGAAATTACAGTAGCAAAACAAAGCCGAGTCTCCCGAGGCACCCTCACATCTCAGCTAACAGATTTAATCACCTGGCAGCTTGCAAGCGTTTATTTCACGTAAGAGGGAATGTTCCAGATGATTCTGGAATTTGATGGAAAAGATTTTGAGTTCAATAATATTAAAACCTCTGGCAGCACTAGTCATTGTCAGACTTGCTGGGCCCAAAATATGATTTCTCTTCAAATATTATTTCCTTCTCATAGTTTAAAAGCCGTGAGGTTCCAACTTACACTTGTTCCTTGCATGACCAACTGGCTAGAACTTTTACAGACAAAACCCAAACAATTCACCATGGGGCCCCACCATAAACAAAGTCATATATGAATGCTATTTTTATTACAAAAGCTGTAAAGATTTCCTGGAAGCTCATCTGTGCTGAGTACATTATACCTAAGAGAGATTTTCATAATACTGCCTCCAACTCCATAGACTTTCCAGGAGACAGGAAGATTTTGAGTATCCTGCTCCAGAAGTGGTGCTTGGATTAAAGGAAAGTATCATTAGCCAGAGTCTAATAAGTTTATGAGTCTGATTAAGCATTAATCTTTTTCTTCTGGAGATGGCAGTAGTGTCCATGCACAGATAACTTAATTGGCTTTCTGACTTTTCATTTGAGTGCATGGAGAGAATAATATTGCCTTTAATAGTTGAAAGATGTGACAAAGAGAGAAAGACATTTTTGCATCATATGGCAAACTGGTTTCATTCTCTCTCCTCCCCATTTACATCCTCAGCATGAGGTGTCTCTTCATCTCCAATCCCTTTGGCCATCCCAACTGCTGCCAGTCACACCTCCACACACAGCTCACCAGCCCTGAAAAACAGTTCTCATGAAGCTGACCTTTTCAAATAGGTTGATTTTATTTTTCCAGATCAAGCTTGTATCAACAATATCCCACCAGATAAACATAGCTGAGGAAATAAAGAACCCAAACACCATATGGGCAAGCTGCAACAATGCCATTAATCTGCTCACCTGCCTGTCCTGCCTCCTCCCACCCCAGCCCCACATCAACTCCAGATCTTTCAGATGTCTTTAGTGTTTGGTTAAACAAAGAAGGTCTTTTCCGCTGTTCCAAGTCTTTCAGTTACTTGCCTAAATAGTTCTAAGTGACAGTTTTTAGCATATTGCCTTCTGCCTCCTTTCCAGCATTGTGCAGACCACCCAACACTTCTGCTCCTTTACCCTCCCTTCTCCTTCCACAGCTCGTTGCATCTTGGGTTGAAATTTCTCAGAGGATCAACAACACAACACATGTTCCACTTGTAACAGATTCAGCATGTGATAGGTGAAGCCCTGATCCTGAGTGGTCCTTCGATGCTGTATAATACAAAGCGACACATATATTTTTGGTTTTAAAATAACCTTCTGATTCATGCTCCCCTGGTATTGGCAAGACCACGTGAGTGTGACAGAAATAAACTGTGTGACCTCCATATCAGCAGGGGATCCGCCTTAGGTTGTGTTCCCAGAGCAGAAATGGGAGCAGGGGGAGCCAAACAGGCAGCACTTCAATGTTCCTCCTCCCCCTCCCTGCCTCAGCTATAGCTCAGCTATAGCTCAGCCTTTGCAGGGCTGTGCTTCCATCCTCCAGGGCTTGCTTCTGGGCTAAACTCCTGTTTGTGTCAGGGTCCTCTCAACACATTTCCAAATTCTACAAAACAAAGAGCATTAGTCTTATTTTTTACAATCTACAGATGAGTGTCAGAGAACAAGATACTGTCAAGCAGGAGAGCTCCAAATGTCTTTCTAAACAGAAATTACTTTGTTGAATAAAAAGCATTTCAGAGCCAAGGAATGATCATGTTTATTTTCTTATCTCTTTGATGAAACAGAACTGATTTCTCTTAGGTTCAAAGAGATTGTGTTTGGAGAGCTCAGTTTTTAGAACTGTAACTCCTAACAATCCCATTAGATTCTCCTTGCAGTTTAAACTTTTGCCAGCAAAATACAGTATTTTGCTGGGTGTGGTCTGATGCAAGTCCAGGAGGTCTCTCGAACCATATGGTTTCTGATGGTTTTAACCTATGATTAAATCAATCTAAAAGAACAAAAGCTGTGTGGGAGAAAAGAACTTCGTCTAGAATTGAAAGAAAATTGAATCAAGTGTCATTTTCTTAGACATTTAAAAGGTGTTTCATCTACCAGCAGGTGCTAAAGACAGGAAAGCCTTACCCAGTGATCAGTGCCTTCCCTCCCATGGACAGAGCAATGGGTTCTGATCCTCATCCACAAACCACAAGACTGGTGAGCAGTTTTTCTAGCAGAAAACATAGAAGAATTTGCCTTAAAAAAAAACTACTCTTGTCTTTTAAAACACTTTAGAAATCCACTTGTTAGTCTTTTCTTCATGTTTCCAATTGCAGAGGTGCTGAGAATTACAGTGCAATAGGCAGGTTTGAACTGTGTGTGTGTGACATGACACACTCCTTTTGCAGAGGTGCAGTCAACTTACACAGAGAGGAACAGCATTCGTAATGATGGCATCACAATGTTTTAGGGGAATACAATAACATTCAACTCCTGTACCTCAAGTTCTTGAGATTAAAACTGTTCAAACCAGTAAATATACTTCTCAGAATAACCATGTTTATAACAAAAAATTATGTACTTGATTGTTCCATAATGGCACCAAATACAGTGTCCAAATTTGGGGATCCCACATAAAACATCCTGTACCAGGAGCTCATAACAAGAGAGAAAATTCACAGCTGAGCCATCTCTAGTACTTGCCCGGCTGTGCCCCCTCCGTGCCCATGTCCCATCTCTGGCAACAACCCCTCCCCTGGCCTGGACAGCTGTCCCAGACCCCACAGCCCTTTGCCTGGCCCTGTGCTGGGTGTGCCCCGTGCCAGGCACAGCAGAGCTCTGGGGCCCTTCCCCTTACTCCCAGTGTCCTGAGGACACCACTGTGCTGGGAGCAGCAGGACAGGAGGACAGATCCTGGTCAGCACAGCGAGGCCCCAGCAGACACTTCAGGAGCCGGGCAGGGCTGTTGGTTTCCCTGTGCTCTGAGCCTCTCCCTGTATCCCTGAGGAGCCAGGTTCAGTCTAACCAGGGAGGTGGATGAAAGGGATCACTCACACACTTTGTTACATCACAGCACATTCCTCGGACCCCAGGCCTCAGGGGCTTTACTGAACTTGCTGTGTGTTACACTCACTTGGCTGTCTCATTAAACACTACATTTGGCAAATTCTACCTGCCTAAGGCCTTGTCTACACAGTAAAGCTTCACCAAAGTTTTGCACACCCAAGGTCAACTCAGGGCATGGAAAATGCACATCCTGTAGCTCACACTATTACAGTGGTGGGACTCCAGGGACTGACGTTAATTGTGCCAGCAGCAAAGTCCAGGGCAGTGCACCTTCTGCTGCTTAGGAAGGTGAAGTCCTTAAAGCAGCAGAATAGGCTGTGGCTCCATGAGGTAGTCTGTGGAGCCACAGCACCATAAATAGCTTTTGCTGGGTGCACAAGACATACTAACTGCAAGCTCTACTTGTACATTCCCATCTAGCTTCTCTTTGTTCACTTTCCTTATACACCTTCCTTATACACTGTAGAGCTCCCTTGCCTTTACTTTGGGAAAGACTCACAGTTGCCTCAGGATGTAACAGAAATTCTCTGTGAATTTTTCATGTTGTGTTTACAAAATACACAGGTTAAAACATGCTTTTGGAGCTCAGTTTCTTGCAGATATCAATTATATGAAGGCTCTTTTTGTTAAAAAACTATCAACATTTCACTGGGGGAGAGATGTTCAATACCAAGAATGCAAACTGATGGGAGTCAAGGGAGCCAGTGACAGGCAAAGAGGGCAACACCAGGTCTTTGGGATTGTCACTGACACATCATGACAAACATTCCCAAACATGTTCTGCACAAAATAAACTGTGCCCTTTCTCCTTAAAATAAACATCTTTGATATACTTACTGAAACCAGGAATGTGCCATTATTAATGATAATGTAGTGCAGGAGACAGCTTTTCTTAAGGTTACCCAAAATATTTTTGCTGCTACATCAGATGTATTGTTGGAGCTCACCAAACCCAGAGCTGTGGTGCACCTGTTTTCTCTCAGACACATCTTATTTTTCTTCCTTGGAAGTCCCAGCTGGCGTCCAGGTTTTCTTAAATTGCTACCAGAGCTAATTGCTAAATTGCTACCAGAGCAATGCCCCAGAAGATGGGGAGCTGCTTTCTGCAGTGAAAGGTGAACAACTGGGGGTTCACCAGAACGGCCAAAGAGATGGAAAGAGCTGCTGCTCAGAGCAGCCCGGGAAGGAAGAGGGGATCAGCAGCTGCAGCCAGGCAGCCAACCACAGTAGTTTCAGGGGCTTTGATTTGGGGGTTCTCAAAGCAGGAACATTTTAGTGAGGCTCAGGGGAGAAAGGAGTAGCTTGAGGCTGGTAAAAAGCTGGCAAACAGGTGGTTCTGTTGGGAGTCACTCAGCTATGAAATCACAAACCCAGGGAAAATATTTACTGAAGCCCAGACTTACTCCACCTGAAGGCACAGCAGGCAGCCTGTTTTCTTCATTTGTTTTTTATTTCTTTTGCTTGTTTGGATGCTCTGTGATATTATTCCAATATTATTTTTAGGTGGTTTCTCATTTAAGAAGACACTGCATTCGGCCTAATTCAGTCCAGCCTGGGACTGCTATTCCCTCACAGAAAAATTAATCTCACACTGGTAACTGCAGCAAATCCAGTAGCAGAAAGAACAAATGGCAAAAGCTAAGGATTTTGAACTTGCATCCAGTTAGGGAAGAGAAATGGAATCCACCTCAGTCAGCACACTCGCAACGTGGGAACAGCTTTGTTGAAACAGAGAGAAATTATTGACCACAAAATCCTGCATCTGGTTAAAAACTACAATAACAGCAAAGAATACCACCACTAAAACCCTGTTCTAAGGGGCTTATAATACTAAAATACTAATGATAACTAAAATTTAATTAAATCTGTACAATTGTATGCACACAGATTGGAAAAGACTGATATTCATCTCAAGAGGCAGTATCAGCATTTTCACACTCTGGCTTCAGGAACCACATCAGGAAATCAAACAAATATTATTCCATGTGTGCAGTGAACTTCTTTCTTCTTGTAACAAGCAAACAAAAATTATTTTCTTAATAAACATACAACAGACAAAAGCGCTACTGAGAAAGATCATAAGACTAAGAAAAAAAACCAGTACTATTGATGAAAACAAAGCTTTCCTCCTTCCAGTCAGGAGTGGCTGGGATTGACACACGTGGATGGCTCATGGCTGGTGTCCCACAGAGGCAGCTTTGCAAGGTGCTGTGTGGATGGGATGGAGATGAGCACTTCATGCTGCTGGGGAGACTTGCAAAATACCCAGAAGGAATAAAACCAAGCAGATGATGCAACCAGACATGTATAAGCTCAAAACACCCAGTCAAGGCTAGGTAGGAATTTTATTCAGGGGTATGATCTCAGGAAGAAAACAGCATTGCAGGAGAAAACTTACTCAGGCTGATAAATTCCAAGCCTTGGCATTTTCCAGCAAATGCACTGCTGAAGGGATTTCAGGGAATGCCACAGAGAGCCTGTACTGCAGGGCGTGCTCCCTGCACGCTGACATGGGGGGGTATTAGAGGGGAGCAAACTGGATGAAGGCCTCAGTCCCACCACACTGGACACAGGTTGTTATCTCCAGGAACCCCAGCACAGTCAAGTCACGTTCAGCTTTGTCTGCATCACGTTCCCATTGGTTTTACAGCTGAAAGAGAGGATGGGACACTGCACTGTCAAGCAAGGAAAATGGCATTAGAGATGAGTTTTAGGATAATTTTAGGGTAGGTTCTTTTCTTAGAAGTCTTCAATCCAAAGACCATTAGTTACTACCAGACTAAACCACACTGGAAACACACAGGGCATTTGTTGCATTTTTCTGAGCAGCCCACCATCTCTAGATTGATAATTGCCACTTTTCCTACACTTATTACCTCCCTTATCTTAGGGAATGGAGTCCCCAGCAAGCAAGATTAGTCTCCTGTGAGAGTTGTTACATTACCAACAACGATAAACAAGCAGTAATCATTTTAAGATTTAAAAAGGGGTTCAGGGAAATACTCCTTCCCTGCTTTCATTTTCAGGAAAAGAAAAAAAGATTCTTCAGGGGAATTAAGGGGGAGAGGGCAATTCTTCCCTAGAGGTTCAAATATATCTCCCAGGCAGCACAAAAAAAATGTTGGTATTCTGTACCACCCAGTGCCTGCCCACTTCTATGCTTGATTACCCCGATAAATCAGAAAACCTGTTTGTTACAGGCTCTCCTTCCATTACAGCTGTTGCTCTGGTTAACATCTTCTGAATCATCCAATTCATCAGGATCACATACATGGGGCTTTAATCCTTTGATTTTTTAAGTTACTTTGTTCTGAATTTTTCGCTTCATCCCCTCACTGACAGAGAAACTGAATAAAGATGAATAAGTCAGAGTAGCATTGTTTTTCTCCCCTGCTTTTTATTTTGCAAGGGAAATAGGAAGGGGGGACAGGGTAACTCTCCATTTCACAGTTCTTTAGTGGTATCACTCAGCCCTGATGGTGCAGCCTGAAACTTGAAGAGTCTGAAAACAAGTGCTGAACTTCGGAAGTACAGTCAGCCCCGCTGTGTTCTCACAGATATTGAAATGCTGTTTTAAAAAAATGTATATTAAATAGACAAATAACTTCATGGTTATTCCAAGCCCTCCATCACTGCTATGTCTTTCAGTACTAATTTCTGTAAATGGAACAAACCTGGGAATTGAGTTCCAACCGAAGTGTAATAGCTTCATAAATTACAGGGAGTGTCGGAGCTGGGACGGGAAATGGGGAGCGCAGTAGGTCAAACGATTGCTAATGGGCTCTCGAGTCATTTACCTGCTCAAATCAAAGTCAGACCTGAGTACAACACTGGAAGGACACAAGAGAATGTGCTCTACAGCACTGCTCCTCTCAGCAGGGTTTTAGGATGAATGCACCCAGTGAACCCCCGCTCATCTCCATGCCCCCAGCAGGCCCTCCCAGCAGGTCTCCAGGCTGGCTCACTCAGGGGCACTCCCCGGGGTAGTGCCAAGTGAAGGATATGCTTTGAGAACAGTGACAACACAAACCTGCACCCCTTTGGGAGGCTTCAGCAGCCAGGCCACCTCCTCCCAAGGAGGGCTGAAGCAAACATGGACTGCTCTCTGCAGAAAGTCCCTTCCTGCCCTGCCTGCCCAGAATCCAGACTCAGCATTGCCACCATGCCATAAATCACAACAACACCCTGTAATCAGGGGGAACACACCGACCTCTCATAGTGGAACTACATTTTACATAGCACATATATAACATACAAAAGGTATGAGAAGAGAAGGATGATGACTAAACCTCATATTGTTCCATGGGTTTACTACTGATCTGACACCCTCTGTTTTGAAAATCAGGCTGTGTATTTCTTTGTAAAAATGATCTCTACAGAGGTTCCTGAGACTGAATTGTTCCAAGTCTTAGCTGCCTTCAGGATAGATTTCAAACTCTAATATAAACTATTTATGAGAGCAAAAAATGAACTTTGATAGAGGAGGAGTATCTCTACTATTTTACATACCTTGTGCTGGATAAGACTCACACCAACGTTTATAAATTCTTTAGGAAGAAAATACCACAGCCTTCCTTTTCTACCCTCCTCACCTGCTTTTTTCCATCTATTTTTTTCTCCTTTCAATGAAGGCAAAATCTTATGGCATTACAGGAAAGTATTTTCTGACCAGTGCAGTGGACTCAGCATCTGAATCCAAAGTACCTGTCTACTCATGTTATGTCAGAAGAAACAAGTCCTTAATTATCAAGTTCCTATAACTATGATCAAGGATTTGCTTCTGATGAATTTCCCAAGAGTCATTAGCAATATATGGGTACAAAAAGAAAAAACCTATGGCATCAAAAAAAGTATAATTTCTGGCCTGTCATCTTTAAGGCAGAGAAAGACAGACAAAGAAAACATGAATGAAGAAAAAAATAAAGCATATACACAAGCCTTCCTTGAAAAATCTGTCTGGCATTTGCTACAGAAAGATTTAAATGGCTGCTTTTGATTGACTTTATCTGGTGTATTAAGCTCCCATTGAAAATATTTTGTGCTAAAGGCTTTGAGCTCTTGTGCTGATTGGCCAGACTTGCACAGGATAAATCTCACGTGTAGTGGAAAACCATAAAATAATCAGCTAAACTCGAACAGAAAGAATTTTGTGAAGATCTTCAGAGTCAAAGAAACCAGTTTTTCCACCATATCTCTTCACCCCAGAGTTTTCACTGAATTAAACTGATTGACAGCACAGGTAGCTGCATTAACACTATTAGAAATACGTTAGTAAAAAACATTTCCACTCTCAAATGGCTGATGAGAAGGTAATATTGGTTTCAAAAGAAGAGAGTACACTCCTTTTATCAGAAAACGCCACTTATTTGCTATTGTAGAAAAATTCCCTCAAACAAAACAGAGATTCCAAAGAAGCACAACATCCACCTTCAGCTGGGGAACAAACACAGGCCAGGGCTAAATAACAACCCTAAGGATAAAGAGACAAGACCCACACTAAGGGGGACAAGAATACAGCCCTTAGAAAGGGGACATAAATAGTCCAGAAGAAACATTTATCAGACTGTGATGAAGCTTGGGGCATTGCTCAGAAAACAGCCTGGGAAAGATGACACTTTTTTAGAATCACTTGTTGAAAAGAAGGAAGAAAAAAAAAAAGTACCAAATAGCAACACATGCCTGAATATCTGACTTCAAAAATAGAGATTGGACTTGGTAAATGTCACTATTATCCTTTAGAAAACAGGAAAGACTTTTTATTTTAAGTCTATAATTAGACTTCAATGGAAAGTTACATTGTAAGCTGAAGAAAATTGCCAAACTTTCAATGTAATGTGAAGAATAGTACAATCTTTATTCAAGTCTGGTCTGGACACATGTTATATTTTAACAAGTACTTTGCACTGGAAAAGTTCTCAGTCACAGCAAATTTTTAGTACCATTGGAACCAGATATTTCAAACTATGTAGAGAAACAGATCATTGTAAAAGAGACATCAAAATTTTACCTCGAAGCTCTCCAAGGCATCCGAGTACCATGGGGATAATAACAAGGGCCTCCTGCTGACCTCCCTGTCCCCCACCCCTGGGACTGTGGGCTTTGGAGTCCCCTGGGAGTGTCCCTGGCTGATGGAGGCCTCAGTGAACGCTGGGTCCTCATCCCATCATCAGCAGAACTCTGCAGTTGGCAGTCTGTCTGCCAAGGAGGTCAGAACACACTCAGCTCAGATATTGAATTTCCTTTCACCTCTCCAGAGTATGGCCTTTCCAACTCAGGGTTAAGCTTGTTTGCAATTCCAGGGAAGTGAATTGCTGCTATTGCTGTTGTCTGTGCTGTGCATGGCTTATGAACAAAGAACTCTGGTTTCTAGGGCTCTTGCAGCTCTTTAGTCACTCCCTAAATGAAAATTTCCTGAAATCCAACCCTCAGATCTGAACTTCTTGAAAAGTAGGGGATGAACAGTCTGGATTTAAATCCTCTGAATCAGGTACCATGCTTTGTTTTTAATTTATCCAGACCTTGATTCAGAAGAAACACAGATCTGATTCTAGCATGAACAAACCAGAGTCTCATCTTGCAAAATATCATCCCAAGCTGACAGAACCATCCATGAGGGAGAAACTTACTCCGGTAAGATTTCTGACACCTTCTACTCAATTCTTGCAAGATAGAAGGCAAGACTTCAGCAGTCAATAATCCCATACTCAGCCAGATCAGTCTGAACATGCAGACCCAAGCTAAGCATCAGCTCTTCAGGAACTCTGCAGTCCCACAGCACCAGGAGCTGGACACTCCTGCAATCAACAAAGCCATAAGCACTTCATTAAAAATCGCAGGGTCTTCCCCCTTGCTTGAACACAGTAGCAACAACGTTAAGATATACTTTAATACCATGTACTAGTGCAGACATTCCATGAACACCTAATCCTGCTCAGAAGACCTTTATTAAAGTTTAAATATAGCTGCCATTCTCTGCTACTTTCTAACAGGTCAAGACACTCTCTCCAGAGGCGGTTTTGATTTTCCAGACAGTCAGTGGTCAGACAAGAACCTGAACTGTGGGAGCTCTGCAGCATTCCCTTCAGTCATCAGAAACCAGTTCTGATGGGTTCAAAAGGAAGCTGTATCAGATGGGACTCATGGGAAGTTACATCAGACTTTCATTTGCCCAAAGAAGGTCAGCAAGTCAGAGTGTTCAGAGAGAGCATGCAAAACATGGCACATATTGCAGGGTGTGGATAAAGAGGAAGGATCTTTCATAAGAAAGAAAAATAATTGACATGGCATATTTCATCTGACTGCAATTTTTCTCTATTTCCTGAAGAAACCAAAGCACAGAGAGAAATAACAATTTGCACACATTCTTGCACAGCGAGTGCATCAGAACACATATCTCCTGCAGATCCTCTCTCTCAGTTTCTCCATTGCCTGGAGATGAATGCACTGGGACCCCGTTCTCCTAAATCTGCTTTACGTGTTACTGTGTTTATGTTTGTTACCCCATTGCTCGAGAACTGAAGCGTTTCTGACTGCTGGTCTTTTCAGTCACTCTGCTCTTCAGTTCCAGCTGGGAATGCATTTACACCCTGGAGCTGATTCGCAGGTCAGAGACACAGGAGATTGCAGTGTGAAGCAGCAAGGCCTCCTGGCTGACTTCCCAGGGAAGAGGTGGATCCTGTGTTCTGGCACACCCCAACACCTGTTGAGGGACACTGAGCTCATAGGGTAGGGGGTGCTGGCCCAGCCTCTCCTGACACTCCATGAGGAGATGGCCTCCTTATAGATTTGTAAGTGCTGACAATTCCAACATTTATTTCAGCTTCTTTGCAGAAACTTGGTACTAAAAAGTGCAAAGTCCTGCACCTGGAACAGGGCAACCCCTGGTATCAGTACAGGCAGGGGGATGAAGGGACTGAGAGCAGCTCTGCTGAGAGGGACTTTGGGATGCGTGTGGATGAAAAGCTCGACATGAGCTGCCAATGTGAGCTGGCAGCCCAGAAACCACCCGTGCTTTTAATTTATTTTAAATTTTCAAATTATTATTTAAATTTTTAATTTATTTCCCCAAAAGCAGCATGGGCAGCAGGTAAGGGGGCATTCTGCCCCTCTGCTGCACTCTAGTGAGATTGCACCTGCAGTGCTGTGCCCAGCTCTGGGCACAGTGTAAGAAAGACATGGACCTGTTGGAGCAGGTCTGAAGGAGGCCATGAAGATGTTTCAAGGGCTGGTGCCTCTCTGCTCTGGAGACAGACTGGGAGAGCTGGGGGTGTTCTCCTGGAGAAGAGAAGGCTCCAGGGAGACCTTATTGTGGCCTTTCAGTACTTAAAAGGGGCTTGTAAAAAAGATGGGAACAGACTTTTTTTAAGAGGTGCCAATAGGGCAAGGGGGAATGGGTTTAAACTAAAAGAGGCTAGATTTAGACTAGATATAAGGAAGACATTTTTTATGATGAGGATAGTGAAACTCTGGCACAGGTTGCCCAGAGAAGCTGTGGATACCCCACCCCTGGAAACATTCAAGGCCAGGTTGGATGGGGCTCTGAGCAACCTGGTCTTACTGACGATATCTCTGCACATTGCAGGGGGGTTGTACTAGATGGCATTTAAAAGTCCCTTTCTATCCAAACTATTCTATGATTCTATGAAAAGAAAAAACTTCCAGTCTGCAGGTAACAGCACTACCTGTGTTTGACAATGGAAGTGAGATTGAATTACCATTTATTATTTGTAGCCAGGTATCATCTTTGCCAGATTTCTGTACACTGTCAACACACACTCTACCGAAGACTA